CGTGAGACCACGCGCGAGGGAGGAGGGAGGAGGGGAACGCCTGCAAGGAAGCCATTGTTTTCGCCATCCCGCCTACTAATTAAAAAAAATAACAAAAATAACGCAACTGTGAATGACTAGCTGTCAAATAAGTCTGGCCGCGATGCACGTATTCTAGTCGTATTCCTCGCACTGTTTTTCTTTTGTTTTCCTAAAGCAATCTAAAGTAACACAAAGGTTCTATAACAAAGTTCAAATGCGGTCGTCCATCGAAGGAATCTTCCTTGAAAGTTGCAACGACGCGTGCCGAGTTACATAAAATCCAGCATAAATCTATTCAAGTTGTTGTTGAAGGAATCGGACTGGAAAACTATTTCATTAGAAATGTAGCGGCTCTTCGCAACTTTCAATGCAATGTTTGTCTAAGAAAAATTAAAACACTTTGCCGTCACGCAGTCTTTGAATTTCTATCAGGACGAACTGGCAGGAACTGGATCCAGCGGAGCACACTAAAAAACGCTAGTGGCAAGGAAAGAAGAGCTGAACTTCGAAGATCTGCAAGAAGGCAACAATTTATTATCAAAGTAAGTTCCTGGCGGTTTTATAACTGGTCAAAAATCGCCAAAAGTTGTAGATCGCTTCGCATTCAATTATCTTGCCGTTGATAACGCGGGTCAAACCCCGGGGGTCAAACAGCAGATAACAGGCACACAGGCAGCATGAGTTTTCGTTTCTTTCTTCCGGCGAGTAAAACCGACAAGCCGTCGGGAGATAACATTTTTCAGAACCAGTCCGTAAACCTCATCTTTTGACAGGCCTTTTCCTTCATACGGTTCTTTAATTGCTTTTTTCTATTCTACTTTGAAACTGAAATTGATGCCTTCTAATGATGAATCCCGTAGAGAAATCTCAACACGCTTCACTTACGACATATGTTTAGTTGTGAATGGTAACACTCAAGTTACTGAATGACATGTAGGTGACCAATTAAAACACGCTATTTAGATCTTATCAAATTTTGACCAATCAGGATTTTAACATTCGCCTGGTAGATGTTAATAACAAGAAAACAATGGTTTCCTGGCAGGCGTTTCCCTCCCTCCTTCCTCGCGCGTCCCTCACGTTTCTCTCGCGCCTAAAACTCCCTTTCTCAAAACTCCCTTTCCCTTCCCTTTCAAACGCCTGCCACGCAGGTTACAACCTGCTCGTTGGCTAAATTGAATAGATATTACCCCTTTTTCAGTTCTTTTTACCGGTGAAAGTAAAAGAAATCACAACAAAGAAATACAATTTCGTCTTGTAAAATAGTTAAAACCAAGAGAGGATAAAGGGGACACAGAAGGCATCCCCCATACACACCCTATTCCATAGGTAATTCGTCTCGAGTTATTTTTATTACCGGGATAAAGTTACCTCGCGCGCTGCGTGGATGTTTCGTGGAGGTTTCGCATGACTAAACGCCATGCAAAACATGTCGGGCGAAAGGCAATGAAAGCGTAACGAGATCGAGAGCATTTCTGAATATTGAAGCGAAATGAGTCGGCGCTCACCTGGGAAAAGGGAATCGCTCGACTCTTTGACAACCCGCGAAATCAATTTAACTCGAAGTTATCGTAACCTCAGTTCTTTAATAAAATGAAAAATTTCGCCGGTCTATTGAAACCGGTCGTTTTACAATAAAGCAAGTAGCAAGTAATATTCATTTACATGTAATTAGTTTTACAAATTTGAATTTTATTGTAGTTTTTTTTAAGTTGTTAAGCGCTGTTGATCAGTGAATGTAAATAGCGCTCTAGAAGTTATTAAATTATTATTATTATAGGACGCCAAGTGTTATTTTTGTTGAATAATAAAAGACTAATAAAAGAATAAGTATCAAACCAGAAATTGCTCTCTTCAAATGATCCTGAGAGAATATTCACTGTGCTAAGGATTTCCCTGCTGTACTGTTAGCTTTATACAAGAGATGAAGGGTGATTCGTTTTTAATTTCCGTTTCGCTGACACAGCTTTAGCAGAAATCTCTTCTTTAGTCGTTTTCGTCGACAAAACGAATAGCAATATTGCTCTCCGCGTCTTCCACCATTTTCGTGAAGGAAGCGTGGCTCTGAGCGTGGGTCATCCACGCGGAACACATTCGCGCTATGTGATTGGCTGTTGCCTAATCCCCCTTGGGATCTGTGGTCTTAAAAATAACTCGAGACGAATTACTAATGGAATAGGGTGTGTATGGAGGATGCCTTCTCTGTCCCCTTTATCCTCTCTTGTTAAAACTAAATAATCCCTCTCAAACGTTCTGCCAAAGAACTTTCGTTCATTGAAAGGAAAGTACAGAAGAATTTTAACCACAGATTTAAAAGTTAATAATCCCACCACAATGTGATGTATCCTTACATTACTTATTTATTGGTTATAGGTACGTGTGCGCGTACAATTTTATTTTGAGCGCGCGCATTATTTGTTTATTTATTTGATTGACGTGTACATTAAGTTCGTTAATTAACGTCTTAATTTTACTTTGCGTTATTTTCCTCACTTTTATGTGTTGTCCTTGACTGTGCTCACATGGTGGGTGGCTCCTCCTAAAATGTTCTGCAATTGGTATAGGATTTATTGGAGCCGAAACCAATTGTGGAATTGCACGCATTTTAGGTATCCTACTGATGAACAGTTGCGACACGTAGATATATATTTTTCAGCAACTAATATAATTTGTAGTCTGTCTACTTTGAATTGGTACATGCCAAGACTGACCAAATCGATTTTCTCCCGATATCATTCATACACCATCAAGAGAAAGGTTTATGAGAATTCATAACATGATCACAACAGGGAAAGCGCTTTGATGTTTTGTCAAATTCTCTCTACTAATACTTTCAGGAAATATATGGAGAATAAATATGTGAACACAAGGGGTTAAAGAGGTAAGGCAAGGAGACATTTCAGTATCTACTTAATTTACCCTAGAAATGTTATTACAGATTAATGATAGCTTGGATCCGTAACTTTGAACCACCTTGCTTAACGCCCTGTTGTGTTTCGTTTTTTTAAAGTTTCCCAGGCCCGTTAAGTATAAATAAATGAGCCATGAAAGGGCACTAAGCCAGGTGGAGTACTCCCTATAATGGCCTATACGGGGAAGCTCCGCCCGAGGGATTTCACTAGCTGACTGTTTATATAAGAGGGTAGGGAAAGCTGTCATTTCGGTCTGTAAAGGGGTCTAAAAAGGCCGACAAAAGGTTTTATGGCTATGAAAAAGTTGAGAAAATTTCCGGTTTGGTTGTCTTCATTATTTCAAAAACTAATTACATGATACTTCATAAAGAAAAAAAAAACAAGAAATTAATTTTTAATGAATTTTTCGTCCAATTTCTAGACCAAAATTATTAAGCTTTTTAAACCTGATAATACAAGACAAGACAAGATGATTTATTAAACTCAGCTCAGTTTTATATGACATAAAGGCTAAATTTGCATAGGCAACTAAACACAGTACAACTAAGGAATAAAAGAAAAATGCAACAACAAAATAGATAGCGAATTTGGATAATCCAAATAGCAAAGGCTAATCTAGTGGATGACCCTGCAATAAAATACAATTACAGACAGAATTAAGAATATGGTTTTTTTTTTATTCAAAAAGTATTTCTTCATGCGCTAAGGTAGATAATTAATTATAATAACAATTGAGGATAGAGTATTTAAGGGCCGTTTTACGAAATATTCTAAAGGAGTTCCAAAGGCGAGGACCAGTGAATTTCAGTGAGCGTAAGCCATATTGGGTGGTATTAATTGAGGCTACATAAAGATTTGAATGAATTAAAGATTACATTTGAAATATTCACTGAAACGGGGGGAGGAGGGGGGTTAACAGTCTGCGTGACCACTGATAAACAAGAGAGAGTATCTGTATACACTCCTGCTAGTGTTTTGAACAGTACTTAAAACATAGTGCACAAACAGTAGGTAGAAGGGAATCAAATTGCTAAACTAGGTGATATGTGAAGTGAGCAAGTAAACATTTTATTTAGTAAAACACTAAATAGCTAAAAGCTAGTAAACTTGTGGGCCTCACTTGTGCCACGGTGATGCGGGCTGTAGTTCTGCATGTAATCTTGTAATTTGCCTTTCTCCTCACAGTTCTTAACCCTTTCACTGCCAGAGTGTTTGATGGTGTTTTGTAAGGTCACTGTAACTTTTGAGTCTATGGACAAAACCCTATGATGTGACCATTCAAATGAAAGCTCTCTGTCTGTACTTTCACATGATGCTATTTGTTTGTCAAAATTTTTAGAAGATGAAATTTGCAAATTTGGTCGAAATTTGCCTTTGGCCACATTTGGCAGTGAAAGGGTTAATCTCCATAATTTCATAATGGTTACAATTATCAGTGTGTACTCTTACAGTTGGTTTTTACCTCATAACTAGTCACTAGTTAACGCACATACAATGCAAACTTTTTCAGAGCCACCCCAGAAGTTTTTCAAATATTATTAGACAAACCTATTTTTTGGAAACTGGTCGTTTCGATACGAACTCATGCAGTGAAACTGCACAAAAATTTTCGATTACTTCAAGTAAAGTTTGCAATTCAAAAAGAAAACATTTTGGACAAATATTCTTCCATCTATAATCCAAGTACGTGAAACTATTTACACCTTAAAGGTATTAACTTGTATCGAAACGACCGCCGATAACCGTTGTTCTTCACTCTCTTTAGGCATTTTGACCCCATTTTAACCGTTAATATTCCGTGATGACTCAAGTAATGTATATTAAAAAAAATCACACAATTATACATAGAGAGGTCAATCAAGCAATGAAAAATGTTGCGCTTAACTATAAAATCACTGCTTATAAACGAAAAAGAAGAGTTTCTAATCTTAAAGGCTGTACATCTTCAACAATTTAAATCTACTAATAAAACTGATACTGAATGCATTTCGTCTGTTTATAAAGGTGGTACAATTTGCAGCCCCCTTCGTTCTGACATGGGAGCTGTGTAATTTCATTTTCTGGACACTATTTTTTAAAATGAGCTCCAAACCACCACTGAGTAGTAGAGCTGTCTTCCTGTGTGCAGCGGAACTTGGGATTAATGCCGTTATAGGAGCCAAAGTTGTCTTCACTCGATACCGCTCCAACAGTTGCATTTAGCTCGCAGAAATCGATAGAGCTGTCAGTATGCAAACTCACCCCGAAGTTCGCCCAAAACGGTGCTGTAAGGTTCGTGCCATTGAGCCCCCGGATATCCACATATTCTACCTTCTTACACTCGCCATTACCAAGGAAATCGACGATGTTAAAGTCTTTGAAGTTGCCGCGGAGGTAGTCTGTGAAATCGATGCCATGAGTCGGATAGCTGCATGTTGCTCGCCAGTGGGTGGAGTGGACCTGCAGTGATCTCATTCGCTCCAGACTTAAGCGGTAACGATCCCAGTTCGGGGAGTTCTCATTTTCCGGGACATTGGACTGAAATGGGGTGCTGCGAAAAGCAGAAATAAAACGATTTTTTTTACTCCACGACATGACTAGTGTCCATGCAATACCAGGCTCGGATTTTAAATCACAGTAGCCTGGGAAACTGTTTCCGTCGTTATCATAGATCTTATAAATGCCATCTTTGTAGAAACCTTGCTGTCCATATTCGACACAGGATGTCACCCGGTTCCTACCCTGGAAGAGACAAAACAGGCAACTTTGCAGTTTGTTTGCACCAATTTCCACTAGAGGGAACTTCAATCTCAGCTCAAATCTGATCAGTTCACCCACAGTCTCCCTCACAGCCGTTTTTGTCTCGTCACGCAACGCTTATGGTGGCTGAACACAGTTTTGGCAGTTTGTGATTATATGTCATCATTTGCTAAATCATGGCAAGAGAAAGGTTGCAGCTCACAAGCTGAAACTTGGCAAATGAAAACTATACTAATGAAACATTTTGATTGACAGGGAAAATTTGACGCTTTCGTAGTTTCCATGGCAACATGAACAATCGAATACAACCCTAAAATTTCACTTTTGCTCAGTTTGCCTCAAAATTGCTCATTAGATTTTCCTATAAACTTGCACACAGCTTACTACTATTAATCATTACCATTTGAAACTTATTTGACCAAATTTTAACAGACGGGTTTTAAGATAATCAATAATGTAATTGTAGTGTAATTATTAAATGTGTCACAAAATTCGTCTGTTCAACTTCCATTTTAAAGTTTTTATCATTTAAAATACGATGAAAGGAAAAATTCTGCCAAGTATAACAAATTGTTAACGAGTAGATTTTGAGAAATCGTCTTCAATGTACGGTTACTTTTTCGCCTCCGTATTTGTTTGTCTAATTTAAAACACGCGCCGTCACGCGAGTTACCACTGACTTCCCGCAAAACTGTGTTCAGCCACCTTAAGATGCAGAGAAGACTAGTCTAATCTAAGACTCGTCTCTTTTAAGAGATGAGCGCTTTATTGATGTTTGCCTTAATGTCTGGAAATAGTCTACTATCGTCTGCCCCTGGCGAAACAAAAATAAGTCACTGTTTACTTTATTCCACTGAAATTAAATGTAAATTTAATTAGCTTTCACGTTTTTACTAATTACTGAATAAGGCTTACAGTTTTCTATTAAAACTCTGAGATCCGTAATTAGCTTAGGTTTTTCATCTTGACACTACGGGAGATCTTATTTAATTCAAACTATGTTCGCACCTTCAAAGCAAAGTGATGTGAAGTCTTGTTTTCTTTGAATTCGTCTGGGTTGATGTCTTTATTCGAAGTCAACAATTCGCACCAAAATTTTCCATCGTCTCCTTTGGAGGCGGCCAGGTTCAGAGAAAAACATGACGGATTGCTGAGGCATTCAAAGGTGCAGTCAAAGGTGTCGTACACTGTGAACGTTCCAATTCCGGGGACGTTTAAAAAGTGGTATTCGTCTTTTACAAAAACATCTTGAAGATGATTTGGGTGGTGCGTTGAATGCGATTCTATTTTAATAAAAAATAAAATGTGATTCCACGAAACAGACTAAAATTCACGCCAAAAATCGGGTAACTTCAAGTGATAAGTTCAACTAAAAACTTATTAATTGATTTGTTCCTCCTCAAGATTTAAAATATGTGTAAATCCTTGAAAACTAACTTTTCTACGCTTGCCAAAAACCAGAAAACTAAAATTTTGAACCTGCCGCTTAGTTCTCCACACGTGACCATGCAGATAAATGGTTTTGGATACTCATTTTGTAATTTCTAGATAGTAAGTACAAATAGGCTTCAAACTCCTTTTTTTAGCAAACTTAAGGCCGAGGTGAATTGGGGTGTCAAGACATGAAGAATGAAGGATGAGGAGGCAAACGCTTTTTTTTTTACTAATAATTCAACAATTAATTTAATTCAACTTATTCTTGAATATACTCCTAGCTAAAATATTCGAATCTTTTTTCAATTAAAGATCTTTCTTTGTGCTTTGTAATTCTCTAGGTTTAAGTGGCTTTGTTTGTGAGAATAAAAGAAAGAACAACAACAAGAAGAAGACAAAGAAGAAGAGCAAGACTGAAATTCCAAACTAACCTTCTGCATACAGTGCTTCAAGTATTTTTGAAGACAACACAAAGAAAACAAACCGACGAAAAAATGGAGAAAACATTTCAATGTTGAGAAGTCATTTGGTCCAGAAGAGTAAGTTTTCTTGAACACGCTCGTAAGCTGAAATATTAACATAGCATAAAATCACCATATTAACATTTTCCTGTTTCAGATACGATGACAGTGAGCCAAAGTCTTTCTAGCCGATGACAGCAATCAATTATTCGACACTCAATCATCAAACTCGCCACAACGTGGGTGGCCAGTAAACCTATTCCGG